GTGGGTCCTTTGTCACCACGGCATGGCACGCCCACTAGGTATGTAGGGAAGCTGCGAATATATTGAATAAGCAGTCTCGGACAGCCGAAAAGTGGTGGTATTCCAGCTTGGGGGTTGGGCGTGGGGCTAAATCTCCTCGTCGTAAAAAATAATCCTGTTACGAAAATGAACACAAAGCCTCGGACCTGGACGGATCCTCTGGATAAATTTACGTTACTTACTTACTTACTCAAGGAGCTGAGCCCTTCTGGAGGAGCCGTCAATCAGCAGCTATTCAAGAATTTCCCAGAATTTTATGGAACCTGAAGGTTCATTACCGTGTTCACAAGAGCCCTCCACTGGTCCCTATCCTGAGCCAGATCTATCCAATCCATCCCATCGTATCTAAGATCCATTGTAATATTGTCCACCCATCTACGCCTTGGTCTTCCCAGAGGTCTCTTTCCTTCTGGCTTTCCCACCAATATCCTATACGCATTCCTCGTCTCCCCCATTCGTGCTACATGACCTGCCAACCTCATCGTCCTTGACTTGATCATTCTAATTATACTTGGAGAAGAGTACAAGTTATGAAGCTCCTCATTGTGCAGTTTTCTCCAACCTCCCGTCACTTCATCTCTCTCGGTCCAAATATTCTCCTCAACACCCTGTTCTCAAACACCCTCAGCCAATGTTCCTCCCTTAATGTCAGAGACAAAGTTTGACATCCATACAGAAACACAGGCAAAATTATAGTTTTGTATATGGATAAATTTACGTTAAACATTTTTAATACGTCACGTTTCGCACATATAAAACAACAGTTAAGATTATAACTTTGTATTTTTTAATTTATTGGCATTGAAGTGTCAGACAGGCATGATGTATTCAGAATCAAATAACAGTAAGCATCCCCCGAATGCAATCTGCTTTTAACCTCCTGAAAGTACTTTTGCTTTGTTGCCAATTGTGACAAAGAATTCGTTACTAAGAGCGGCCTAGTAATATTACACGGGTTAGCGCATTAACATTCAGCCAAGTGCGCCATTGTTAGAAAGAAGATAGCGCCAATAGAGAAATGAGATGGACTAACACGCCAAACGCTGAAATACAATGATCCTCATTTAGGTTCTGAGTTATTTTTCTTCGGGAATCTCATTTTCAGCCTTACCCTATAATACAGCTTTATTCTTACAATTGTTATTCCTTGAAGAAATAATTACTATCGGAATAGCCCACTACTCCACAAACAAAAAAATACAAACTCCGTGATTTTAGTCCGCAAGCGAACTATACCGACCGAGCGACCGCTTGTCAGCGAAGTTTAGTGCCAACATTTGCGGATAGAGGGTGTCGCGTGGTCAGCGCAACGAATCCCCACGGCCGTTAATTTCGGTTTTCTAGACCGGAGCCGCTATTTCCTTGAAATAGCTCCTCAATTATTATCACGAGGCTGAGTGGACCCGTTCCAGATCCACTACTTCTCAGAAAGTCTGGTAGAACCGGGAACCGAACCCGGACCTCTCGATCTGTAGCCAGGAACGCTGACCACTAGACCACAGAGGCGGTCCCACAACTCCACAAACGAATAATAGTTATCTGTTGTTCATACGAAAGGTTTAAGCCAAACGCCATTTCAATTTACTTATCCATCATACCGAGCATGAAAGAATTAATCATTATTATGGGCAGGTAATTACATCAGAAGTATTTCAATCATGCACTGAGTGTGCAGGACTCACAGAAGAGATGTAGTTGTTTTAGAAACAAATACTTTGTACACTTTGAAAATACGATGAATTAAAGCGCACGTTCTCATTGATTTGAAATAGATTTTGTACATGAGAAAGTGTTGTCCGTTGCTTTTCGTAGGCAGAAATATAATTGGCCAGAAGCATTTAAAATCGTTCTGATTCTTTAAATTAAGAGAAATGGAAAATGAAAAGGTGTGAGAAAGTATTAAGTGGTGGACGTTTTAAGGGATAAAATTTCGTACAAAGACTGAGGGAGACGACCACATAACACTAGTTATTTCAGTAAAAGTCGGGCTCTCCAAATACAAGTAAATTTGAGTTATTATGAAAAGGGCTTCCTGGGTAATCATACTCTATTATGATTAAAACTGTGAAGCATCGTTAAATTTCAAGATTTCTTTGGTAATCCTGGATTATAATCCTCAAAGTAAATATACTGACTCAAAAGTATCAATTAATAAAAGAAACATATGTTATGTTTGATGACTGTTGCCAATTCAATAACCTGCAAACGTTTATTTCACCGATTTGTTCACCCCTGTTTCATGCAGAACATGTGTGTCCACTTAGGACCATTCTAAAGATATTCTCTGTGCTAATTCATTAAGAAGTCATCACATGAGTAACAGAGAGCTGTGTGTCAGGCACACAAACAGCAGTATAATGACTGGAGTATGTCATTCTCGTATTCTCTGGGCATGTCACACAGCATTAACTTCAGCTTACACTCTGTCTGTATGAACACAGTATCCCAGCCTTTTGTTGTTTATTCTCAGGGTAAGGTTGTCTGATACTTGGACCATAAATGGACAACTGTATCAGCCCCAAATGACATATCAGAAGAAACAAGCATTTTGGTTGAGTGAGAATTGGCAGGGGAAAATGATTTATTCAGAGAAAGTCTGCACCAGTGCCACTTTGTCCACCATAAATCCCACATGAACTGATCTGGAATTGAACTTGGGCTACTGCAATGAGAAGCCAGCAGCTAACCATCTAGTTACAGAAGTCATAATCAGTGCTTTTGGGATTCATTGTCATATTTTAGTGCTAGAATTATAATTTGTTTACTTCCATACTTTTTTTCATGAAACTAAGCTGAAGATGTAGTAAAGTACAGGTATCCCTGTAACAGGCCGTGGAGGCCCATAGGGTTGTGAGATGTTGAGGTTCCCACATTTTCTAGACAATCGGCTCATAGATGGCGGCAAGGTTGTCAGTCCTACGCACTGGCCACCCTTTGTTAATGTTTTTCCATTTCCAAACGACTATCAGAATCTCATTCACACTCACTGTGTATAGTGAGTTTATTGGTCCTAATGGTATGACAGTGCTACATGTTTTCGCACATAAAGCCATCATCAGGCAGTACACACTAACAGAAGTTCTCAAACCACTGAATTGCACTTTATGAGAATTCATATATTACAATATAACAAACATCAACAATGTATCCAACCGTCCATACAGCCATTTCATCTGAATTAATACAATTCCTATAAATACACGTACATTAAAAATGGAATAAAACTTTTATATTAAATTGATGTTTAGAGATGTACATAAAGGCGTTTATAATAAAATAACAATATAAAGAACAATTTTTTAAGTTAAATGTACACTTAGACAATAAATTAAAATGTTGCTTATTAGTTCATGCTTAATTATGTTCTATGTAAATATTATACATGTTGGTGTCCATTGTTGCAATTATATCACTATAATAAGTGGTTATCTATGAGTGTTGTTTTGGTTATGGTCTAGTTTGTTTATATTCCCATTTGATTTCCTTACTGAGAAGCCGCACTGTTCGGAAATAATTGTTGTGATGTTCTCTACTGCTTATTTCTATGCTTCCTCGGTCTGGTTTTCTTTATTTTATGGGTTTGTCCATTGTTTTGTGTCAGACTGCAACTGGACGAAATGTCAAATGTATTGACTGTCTGTAGAGTCAGGTACATTGATGATGGTTGCTATATTGTAATATATGAATTCATCTAAAAGGCAATTCAATAGTATGACAACATTTGTTAGTGTATACTGCCTGATGGTGGTCTTATATGCAGAAACATGTAGCACACTGTCATAACATTAGGACTAATAAAGTCATTATACACAGTGAAATGTGAATGAGATTTTCATAGTTGTTGTGTTGAGACAGAAAAAGCATTAACAAAGTATAAGTTAAGACAGCAGGATGCACTCCTTGATGAACATAATACAAAATTTGAATATGCATCTCTGTTTAATATAAATACAGAGTTGGCTGGCACAGCAGTTTCTAGACATCTTACTTTATGAAGATAACCTATTACAGTATATGCAGCAAATTAATTATGCCAAAGAAATATTACTTTCACGTGCTGCATGTCAAAATACACTGTAGAAAATATGCTGCATGAATTCTCTTACATGTGGGTGTGTATCATGAAAAAGAAATTGTGAATTCCATTCTTTAGGTATATGTACCCCTACTAACTATTGTCTACTTATGTTAGGAATTATAACAAATGTAAACAAAATCACTGGCCTTCAATGTTTGAGAAATTGACTGATTTTTTTTCGATAGTCAGGTAGTATTCTTAATTTCTAAGCTAGGCCTATAGGATCACCTGAATGGTTTCCTCTTACAAAGGCTGAAAAAATGTTGGATTTTGAGTTCTCAAATTGGTGACTGTAAAGAATATTATCATCTGGCCAGGCTGCATGGTATCACACCTTAGAAGATGGTAGTCTTAAAGTTGAAAATTTTCTCTTTGAAAAGGAAAATAAGATGCTCGTTTCCGAGCATTCAGGAAAGCACTTGGAACTGTGAATTATATGGTGAAGAAAGTAAGCAGGACAAATACTCCATAATATACATTAACTACTATATATGTAAATTGCTTATCACTAGACAGTAACAGGGTCTTAGAAGTGAGTTGTTATACAGGGTGTAATAAATCATAAGAGTGCACAAATCATAACCAGTATCCACAAAAGTACTATGCTGTTATGCATTTTGTTGGCATGTATTATTTTAAATAATATGTATAAAGTATTTACAGAGATGGAGCACTGAACTCATGTTCAGTGATGACATAAAATGCTGTGGTAACAGGCTTTAGTAGCTAGGAGTTTCAGATTTGCAATCCCAGAGCACATAAAATATCCCACAGTTGTGTTTCCTCCAAAATGTGTATGTTGCTCATGACCGATGTATGTGTAGCGCCCTCCCCCAGAGACACATTATAAAACTTTAACTCGCCATTGGTATATCCTTTACAGTTGAGGAGAAACGTATCGGACTGCAGTCAATCACAACACGATGACCTCTTCCTCTTACGTTGGCTTAGAGGTAAGAACACTGCTGATCAGCTTCACTTCAGATGATAAAATCTGTATTCTTGTCCTTGCACAGTGCCATCCCAATCATAAAATATCTTCAGATTAAGTATTACTTGCTTTCCTCTTATACTGCACAGTGCTAAGCTCTTGAATTAATACCTGGTCAAACATCTATAATTTCTCATATGCATTCTTATCCAGTTCACCACTGAGTGAAAAGTTCTCTTCTTCTACTGTGTTTTAGATTTTCTTATGAACTTTACTATTATAACATACGCTGAGGCTGTCTTATTTGCAGATGATACTAGCATAATTGTTAAAAGTCTTAATCCAACAACATTTGGTAATACTATTAATAAAGTTTTTCAGGACATAAATAAATGGTTTACTGTTAATATGTTATCATTAAATGCTGAGAAGACACAATTTATGCAATTTGTAACAAAGATTAACTCCTTACTTCAAATAGATATAATCCATGAGAACAAAAAAATAGCTAATGTCTTTAATACTAAATTTCTTGGGTTAACACTCGATAATAGCTTCTCTTGGAAAACTCATATAGATACAGTCATACCTAAACTGAGCTCAGCTTGTTATACTATTAGAATACTTAAACCCTTCCTGTCCCAGAAATCATTGAAGATGGTATACTACTCGTATTTCCACTCGATTATGACCTATGGACTAATATTCTGGGGAAATACTAGCCATAGCAAAATAATTTTTAGGATGCAAAAGAAGGCTATTAGAAATATTATGGGTATAAAAAATAAAGAATCATGTAGGAAATATTTTAAAGAACTTAAAATTTTACCAATGAAATCACAATATATATATCTAGTAGCACTATTTGTAGTTGAGAACAGACAACATTTTGAAGTGAACACCGAAATACATAAAATAAATACTAGGACTAAGTCTGATTTGCACTACCCCTTGACCCATTTGACAATCTTCCAAAAAGGAATCCATTATGTAGGGATAAAGATTTTCAACAACTTACCTGCTGAACTAAAAGAGCTGTTCCAGGATATNTAAATTGAAACTACATTATTTCTAATATAGATTTCAGTACAGTATAATATCAGATTCCAGAGAATGGTCTGTTGCAGTCAACAGCAACTAAAAATATAAATACATGAATCCTATTTTTTACATGCCATCTGATTCCAGAGTCTTTGCTTATTACAACAAATACAAGTTAGAATGGAATTATTTAGAATAACTAATAAAGTTATAATAAAGAGTGATGTATTTCATGTATATTTTGCTATACTGTCATTGCTATTCCAAAACAACTTATGGGCACTTTGTCACTGAATAATAAAATGTCAGGCAAAGCCCCCACATCTGTAATTGATTCTACATATTGCATTATTAAAGCATTTTTCCTCAGGATATAATAATGTTGATTTCATTTAGTGAATAGGTTCTCAACAGTCCTGACAGACAAATTAAAATAAGTTTAGTCCCTATTCTACAAACATATTCTGCAAAGATACATTTCACAGTGGAGGCTCAAGTCATATCAAATATACTGCTATTTATTTCCTAGTAGAATCTATTATCGAGGTGACTAATAGCATCAGGCATACACATATATGTAGCAGAAATGCATATTATTATGCTGTTGAATAAGCTTAAAATTAGAAGGCAGCATACAGTATACGGACAGCATTTGCTAAAATATGTTTTACACCAGTGTTTTTCAACCACTGGGCCGCAGCCAGTACCGGCCCACGTCTTGAAGGAAAAGGAATTTACTGGGCTGCAGTCTGATAGAGGTTGAGAACCACTGTCTTACACTATTCATAGAGCTGTATTATAATTATATAGCTATTGCATTGCCTACACAGACCTACTGAAGTTTCCATTTTGGTTATTCTGTTGCTTTCAGATTAGAGCTCTACACAGAGTTTCATAGAACTGGTCTGTACAGACATATTCTACATGCATGCTTTGAAATGGAAAGAAATCTCTATAGCTTCCTAAAATAAGTCACATTCCATGATATTGTCACATGTAGGGGGATACGCATGATGAAATGACAGGTTCTAGTTAGGATGATTGGATTTATTAACAGCTTGGTTACACACACTCTTTAGTTACACTCAGATACAGAGCTATCACTGATTTACACACACCTTATAATCCACTGTTGCATGCACTGTTGCACACAGTCTTCTAAATCACACTTGACATCCTCACAGGTGACCATCTGTATTCCTTGTTCCACTGTTGCATAACTTGGCAACCAACCATTTCTCAAGAGTCTGTCTTTGTGGTAACACACACAATGGTTTGACATGTCACACTATATTGTGTCTACACCTCACATAACCACATCAAAATATTATCAATTCTCACAGAATAGAGAACACACAATGAAACAAAAGACAGCTCACTTGTTTGTGACCTACACATAACTTAGCCATTGCTGTGGTATCCCAAAACTGTGTAATTTCAGAACTTTCAGCTTACTGTTAAAAAACTTCTTTATATTTTGAGTCAAAACGAAGACAGCACACACACACACACACATACCCAGCAGGCCCAGCAGTATAACACACGCAGTCACAGGAGCAAGAAACAACACAAAGCACAATAATACACGATAGTGAAAGAGTGCTCCAACAGAAGAGGATAGATGTGACTCGCGTAGTGAGATACGACGTAGGGAAGAAANCGGTTGAAATAAATCATGGAGATTGAACTTGTATAATGCTTGCTACCATTCAGTCCAGAACCTTTTGTCTTCTCGTCTGCTGTCCAAAAACATAAAAATTAGAATATACAAAGTTATAATTTTGCCTGTGGTTCTGTATGGGTGTGAAACTTGGTCTCTGACATTAAGGGAGGAACATAGACTGAGAGTGTTTGAGAACAGGGTGTTGAGAATATTTGGATGGGAGAGAGATGAAGTGACAGGAGGTTGGAGAAAACTGCATAATGAGGAGCTTCATAACTTGTACTCTTCTCCAAGTATAATAAGAATGATCAAGTCAAGGAGGATGAGGTAGGCAGGGCATGTAGCACGAATGGGGGAGAGAAGGAATGCATTAAGGACATTGGTGGGAAAGCCAGAAGTAATTAGACCTCTGGGAAGACCAAGGCATAGGTGGGTGAACAATATTAAAATGGACCTTAGATACGATGGGATGGTATGGATTGGATTGATCTGGCTCAGGATAGGGACCAGTGGAGGGCTCTTGTGAACATGGTAATGAACCTTGGGTTCCATAAAATGCTGGGAAATTCTTGAGTAGCTGCAGATTTGGCTTCTTCTCGAGAAGGGCTCAGCTCCATAAGTAAGTACAGAGCAAACTATGTGAAACTTGGCATCAGTAACCTCAAAATTGTACACTGCTGTCATATTTGTTACAATATAAAAGAAAATTATTAAAATTAGTAACACACGAATCAACCATCAATGGGCATTACAATACTGATTTTATATAAAATAATTACTGTTGACATTTTATGTATGTGTGAGCTAGTAGCAATGCTCCCATCCTCAAGTGTTTCAGTGGTCCAGAATGATACAAAGTAATATGGGCATCAGAGTATCCTTGAAGATATGGAGTGTTTTAATGACAGTGGTTGTAAAAACACATTGATATGTTGCCTAAGTACCTTGAAATGTTAAGTACAGCAGATTTTCTATGTATGAATCCTTGTCTTTTAGAATTATGTTCTGTTGACTCTTATTCAGTTCTTTCAAAACTTCTGCCTATTCAAGCTTTTTTTCATGCTAGTTTTCAAATTTTAAATTGAAAATTTCACTGTATGTAAAGTAGTTTATACATGTGTTTATTATTTTCACATATGCATGTAATTATATCTCCTCACAAATGTAAATGCCATCAGTTCTGTCATCCTCCAGCTGATGCCAATCAAATTCTTATTCATTTTCGTTAGAGAGGCTTGTAGTGAAATATATATTAGATTGCTTATGGATAACATTTATTCTATTTTCAGCACGCAATTTTAACGTAGAAGCTGCTGAAAAAATGCTGCGAGACGTAAGTAGGATAAAGACATTCATGTGAATCACAGTTCCATTTCTTGTTAGGAAAGTACTGAATTATACTTAAGAATAACCCATTTCATCCCCCATAGACTTGACCAGAGTTCACACAAGTCAGGCATGGACTGTATGTTTTCATATCTGACATGTGGCAAATTAATGATAATTTCCCTTCCTGGAAGGAAAACCACTTGACCCTCATACTTGTAAAAATACTATACAGCTATAGGTCTTCATTTTAAACCTGTGTCCACAGTGCTTCTCTACAGTGTTCCATGACTTTGTCATAACTTCAGGAGATAACTCCTGAGCTCATTCTACTGTAAAATGTTACATCAATGTGGGTCCTGTTCTCAAGAGTCTCAGAGCTATGCATTACACTAAAGTATTTTGTTACTGGAGAAGGGGGGGGGATTTTTGGGAACGAGATAAATGATTATATTGAATTCTAAAGGGTTCTGGTAATGGTGCATAATACTCAGAATTACAGAGTTTTTGGGCTTCGTTCACCATATGGTATTCAAAAGGACACAACATTTCAGGAGCCATATTTGTTTCCATCTTCAGGTGAAAGAGTGGGAGGCACCTACTCTGTTGGGTCCATTAAAAAAAGAGCTAATCTCAATGATTGGACTTGGTTAACCCTTTTTAACAGACCAAACAGAGGAGGTGCCTCCAAATGTCCACCTGAGGATGGAAAGAGATCCAGGTTCCACAGTGTTACATTCTTTGGGACATCAGATGATGAACAAAGTAGAAAAATCAGTAATCCCGAATCTTAAATTAATTGTTCAAAATGTCCACCATCAGCTTGGATGTACAGCTTGGTTCATTCCACTAGGGAACATGTAAACTTACAGAGAACTGCAGCATTATTAACGTGTGTTAAGTCATAAAAAAAGTTCACTGGAATAGTTCATCTCTTGTGTCCCCCTTGCGATCGTACTCCATACTTTTCATGTGACCCCATATATGAAATCGTCTTCTGGTCACTTCTATCCGCCCCTCTATCTTTCCTTCAATAACTTCTTTTAGAAGGCAGTTTCTGCGTAAAACATGACCAATCCAATAAGCCTTCCGTTTTCCTATTTCGTGTAGGATATTCCTCTGCTCACTAACTCTAATTATCACTTCTTCACGTCTCACATAATCCGTCCAACTGATCTTCTCCATCCTTCTCCAACACCACATTTCGAAACTTCCAGATGTTTCTGATCTACTGCCCTAAGTGTCCATGTTTCAGTCCAATACAGAGCTATGCTCCAAATGTAGCATTTCACTAGTTTCTTCCTCAAATTTAAGTCCAATTTGCTGGTAAAAAGATTCTTCTTCTTGCTAAATGCAGCTTTTGCCATGGCAATCCTGGATTTAATTTCACTAGTACACCTTCCATCATCTGTTAACAAGCTACCCAAATATTTAAAACATTTCACATTCTCCAGTTGTTTTTGG